TACACCAGAAACCTCACATAACTACCTTCACACAGTCTAAATTTAAAGGCTTTCGCAAGTAGCTTGGAATGAAGACTTCATTTGTCAGCTGCAAAAATCTTTTACATTAAGTTCAAAGGCTACACTAATGCCAATAGCAGTAAGATGTAATTAATAAAACACATTAAATGTTCCTGTATTTGCACAGGAAATATAATGCATTGGTGCTTCCCTTGCTTACCTATAATCAGCAACAGCTTACCTGAGCAGTCTCATTATTCATTTACTTTCTTGTCAAGTCACTCCAGGTTTGTAAATGGTTGCCATACAAAAGCAGAACCTTTAGGCATGCTGTCTACATGAAAAATACTAGACCCAGAGGAATTCATACTTTCAAGGAGTAATCTTTCCAAGCTGAATTTAGAATTACTTTTGAGGCCAAGCATTTGGGAGAAGTCAGATTTTACTAGGCTTAGCTGCACTGCAGCCAGCGCTTCATGCCTAGTTTCTTGGCCTGAAGCCAAATACCTGCTCCAGGAGTTTACTGGGCTTTTTAACCTCCGCAGAGGAAGAGGAAATCTGTTTTCAAGCTTCTACATAGCGCTATGCTTCAGAATGCTTTCTCAATAATACAGCCGAGAGCCAACCCTGATTTATGGTACTTGCATTATAAACCCCACATGGAAGCAAACAGAAATAAAATTGCTTTTCCTCAAGCATTCACATAAAATAGAGGCAGCAGATATCTTCACCACTAACAAGTCAGAAACATTCCTCAGAACCAAAGCAAGCCTTCAATTCTAGAAGACAATATAGTGTCCCATAACCAAACTACTTATTAAGCATGTTAATAGTTAAACAAAAGGTGCAAAGGGTTGACAGTAATCCACATAAATGAATACTGCAACAACTGACTCCACTGCATTCATATATTTCCATTTAGGAGTTTTCTAGTAAGGCCACAGAGCTTGAACGCTAGCTGTTGTTAGAATGAAGAATATATTTTGAGAAGAGCCTAAGAAAGAAAACAAAACCCAAAAGAGATGGCAATTGAGATATGCCTGTTGTCTATCCACAGATCAAGATAAGCAGTAGGGAGAGAATGAAAACTATGCTGGCACAAAAATAATAAGGAATAAATAAGGTAGCTGTGCTTACAGCTGTCTGGAAGTCTTCGTTCTAAGCATGTGAACCACATCCAAGAACAGCCTTCTAACGGTTCACTGAGAAGGGATGACAAAGCAGATTCAGCTGTATAGCAGACCATGGAATCCAAACAAGTTTTCCTAAGCAACACAAACCTGTACTTTCTAGGAGCAGGTTAAGCAAACATGAATCTTCCCCTCCAGCCTGCTTCTCCCCCAAAAGGAACACCCAAATTGTAAATCCCCTGCTACTTAAGAAATATGAAGTAGGAAATAAATTATATAGCAAGAGTTTAAGTAACACTTTGAAAGCAGACACTCACTCAGCAAGCAGGCAGTAGCACCAGGCTTGATTTGTAACCTGCACTGAATGTTCAACCAGGAGTATAATTATCATGGGAAGACCTAGATTTTATCTCAACACTTGCATACCGTTAAGAGGCACAGTTGACTTCTGCTATCACTTACAAATGAAAGACAGATTGAAGAACATACACAAATGATGAGCCTTGTTGAAAGAGGACAGAAGACTGAAAGAATCCTTTATTGAAGGCTCATGAATAGCATCACAGGCCAATGAATCTTCCAGTTTTGTCAGAAGCAACACATAAGTAAGGACAGAGAACAAGCTGAAACGTTTTGAAGATCTTCTAGTTTATTTTCACAACTAGAAAGCAATTAGCAGAGTCAATGGTGAGACATTCCAGGCAAAAGAAACAATGCAAGTATCCTGTGACCTCCTCCAGAAACAGCCACAAGCAAATCATACCTGAAGCAATTGCAAATACAGTCTAAATGCAGCTGAGGAAGGTTTGAAATAAATTAAACTTAAATATTTCCCTTTTAGGAATCACAGTACTATAACAAAGCCAGTGTGCAGCCCGAGGCTACTAAAGAACAATTGAGAATCCAAATTTAAATGTACAAATTCTCAGGTTCCCTCCCTCAAAGCCCACAGAATAGCTAAGTAACAGGAGTAGAGTTCTCCTTAAAAAATGCATAAATAAATATTGAAATAAAGACAAAACATAATATAGTAAAAAAATCTATGTCAAAATAAGAGTCATTCCATGGATTAACACCTGCATCTTAATTCTCAGTTCAAATATCTTCATCTTACAAGTAAAAGTAAGTATCTTCCAATCTGGCTGGCAGAATGCACAATTCTCAAAGTTCTGCAGATTATTCTCCTCAGTGACAGATATTTAATTTCACAGTTTTCAATGGGATGCAGAGATAAAAATCAACCAAATTATTTTAAGATTGAGTTTACTACAAAATCCACTGCAACTTAGCTATGCTGGCTCTGCAAAATCGGTAAATTTAGAAGCATCCAATAGTCATTGTAGTCAAGAAACATGATTAAAATATGCCTATGGCACAGATGTCTAACAAGGAAGGGCAAGTGCAATTCTCCAAGGACAGCCTCCAGACTAACTGCTGCCGCCATATGATGCTGCCCAATAGAGCTGATACAGTTCAATACAGGCTAGAGCTCTCTGGGACTTTTCAAAGTGCCACAGATCAGGATCTGTCTTCTCTCATATAAGGAATCAATCCCCTCCAGCCATACATAATTTCCAGTTCAAATCTCACTTTCTCAGTGAAGAAAAATGAAAACTCTTCACAAAAAATTTGGCTTTAAAACAAATGCTTCCAACATTAAGTAATTTACAATCTACATGTTGTAGAATAAACAACCAGTAAGTGAGGTTGGCAAGGGAAAACAAGACAAAACTTGTTCTGTTGAACAAGTTAAGTAAACTTGGAACACTCTTGTATAGCTTTTTTGAGGTTTACCAGTAACAGCTACTACTGATCCAAAACCTTAGGTCTCCATTTGTAGAGCAACAGTATCTCAAAGTATTAAAAGGTAGAGATTTTTACACTGATCTTCCCATGCCCTCAGAATATTCTGCAATTAGCTTTCACCCATACTACTCATAAAAAAATTAAAAAAAAAAAAAGCTTGAGCTACTGAGGGAGCAGGATGAAATGAGTCCGCAGGGAAATAATATATCCCAAATGGTCAGTGATCAGGACAGGAGAACATCGAGTACCAACAGCTATTACTTCCGTATGTCACAGCATTGCAACTGTCACTGGAATAGTTTCCATTTTCACAGTGATTAAAAACTGAAGCTTCAGAAAAGCAATTAACAAATTTAAGTTTCATAAGCTAACGAGGAGATAATATAAGTTCAAAGTAAGGTGAAAGAGTAATTTGACTCAAACAGGGAAGACAATCTTTAATAAAAAGGTCTTGATTCTAAAAAAACCAAGACATTTTTAGATGTACCGTGACTAGAAGCTGAAGTCTGACATCCCCAGTCCATAAACGATCATATTACAGTTCTTTTTTTTTTGTAAACAAAGGCACAAGTTAGTCACAGGAATGACTTACCAAATAGTTGTGGTCCATTATTGGAACTTTTTCCACAAGGGTGCGGGTATTTTGTTTTGGTGTGCACTTGTTTGTTTGGTGGTGGTTTGGGGTTGGGTTTTTTTTTTTGGGGGGGGGGGGGGGATGGGGATGATTTGATTTTTAAAGAAGCCCTAGTCTAAATAAAAGGTTAATAAAAAAAGCATACATTCTGCAGGAAATCACAAAAATATTGATAGTAACTGTTTCAAAATTCAATAACATTATACAGTTTTAAGTTAAACCACTTAAGCATATTTACATTTCAATAACTGTTTTTCCATTTTAGTAGATATTTTTAAAAAGCAAAAAATTCCAGCAATAAGCTGAGCTATTTGCTCTCTCCCTTTTAACAAAGTTGTTCTGGTAAGGGATAATGAAAAGATTAGTCTGTTACTGAATATGATGATGTTTTGTCTAACATTTCATCTGTTTGTTGGGGGGGTTTTGTGGATTTTTGTTTTTACTGGATCTAAACAGACACAAAAAATTGCTCTTATGCCTGCTGTGCTTGGAAAAGGGAGAAAATACCAAATCTTAAAAGTTGTTATACCAGTTCTTCCAATGGGAGAAAGTCAATCATGATGCCATGAATCTGAAGTGACAGAGAATACTTAATAGCCATACAAGATACCACCAAAAAAACGCAATGAAACCTGCGTCTGGGAAAATTTCAGTTCCTCCGCTACAGATTTAAATTAGCACTTTCTGGTTTATCAGCAAATCATTCATACCAAAATCCTTCATCTTAAAATCATCCAAAACCCTAAGCAATGCAGTAGCTCTCAACTTGGCCAGAACACAGCTGGATGACTGCTGCCTCTGTTTCTACTCGCTGTATTGTACTGAGACAACCAATAGCTATTTCTCCTTAGCCCAATCCTTGCCACTGCTGCAAAAGTCAGTAGTCCTCAAAATGTTGTATTATCGTTCATTTGATGAATTTTAGGGACCAGCTCCAAAGAGCAGATGACATATTCAGTCTTTTCACATTAATCTGTATTTTCCATTGTGTCTTTAACAACTACATTAGGGACAATTATAACTAAAGCACAGTAGTTATTGCATACAAACTTTTCATACGTATAAACATTACTGCAGCATAGTAACCCTTAGAGTTTTCTCCCATCATTGCTCATTGTACTACCTGCTCTTCCCACACACACACAGACTTCCGATTCCTTTGCATACCTCTAAATACAAATTACTTCAAGCTTATGTCTTCTACTGTATCCCAGGGTAAGGATGGAAGAATCTGTATCTTTTAATGAAGTTTTTCCCCTATCAAAATGCACTTTTGCTTTATATGCTTCCGACAGAAATACCTGCTCAGGAAATAACTGCTCACAGACTAAGCAGAGCTTGTAAATACTCCCTACTAGGGTTAAAAAAAAAAAAAAAAATAAGAAGAAATTGCAAGCACAGTAGGAATCAGCTATGGAAGGTCCAGTAAGAGTTAGGTTCATTCCTTAACTTTCAAGCTCTGCTGCCTGAAGAAAAAAGAAAAAAAAGTCCCTATTATTATAGTTATGTTTTATGCCATTTGTAAGCTTTTTAAAATACAGAGTTATGTGGTAATAAGTGTCCCTGCCTGGAGGAAATGCAACACCCAAGGAATGAAAAGATTTCTAGATGTCTCATTCAAGTTCACAATATGAGTGTCACTGCAAGTCCATATTTTTTGGTTTTAATGTCATAGAAACAGTACACCCATGAATGAATTGCAGTAACAGCAGTATATTTTTTTTTTAAAAAAAAAAAAAGGTGCTATATACAGACAGGAAGAATTCCATTATGAAGAAGTGTTCTACCTCACCTTCCTAAACGGCATCTCAAGAATGTTTTCACTTTACAGTGAATGCGTATGATTAACTGAATTAATTCAGAGTGATATGCATACTTCCTCCTCAAATCCAAAAGCTTCTACTTTTTCTGGATGTTGGGTTTAGTACATAAATAAAAGAAATGGAATATGTACTGTATTTACAAGGTAAACAGCCATTTTCAACTAAAGGCTATAGAAAAAGTTTCCCACTTCCTAAACAGATAACTGCAATCATTATGAGAAGATATTTCCTAAGTAATAAATAAAGGAACAAAATTCATAGACCACACCATTCAGATTTCAGAAACTTAACCACAGCTTTGCCTCTACTGCAAGCTTTCTACAGACAAAAAGACAAACCTAGTGCATAGAGAACAAGCCAAGTGGGAAACAGTCTGTAATGGATTACGTGCAACCTGGTTGCTGTCACGTTGTGAAATTCACACCCTGAAACCGATGCAGGAGCTGGGGCAAGTCCATTTCAGCACTGAAAGAGGCGAGCTTTACAACCTTGTCAGATGCCAAAAGTTGCAGCTGCTTTGCATCAGTTTTCCAGATGGTAACCCACATTAGTAGTCAGTCATAGATTATGTTCAAAGTATTCTGCCTCTCTCTCCTCCCTTTGATTTAAGGGCTGTCACTGAACATCAGGCAAAATATTTACAAACTACTGCTAACGGACACCATCAATATGGTTAACAGCAACAGTATTGTAACTGAAGGGAAGGGGGGGAGGAGGGGAGCACAAGAACATCAGTCACCCTTCCTTCCATTGGCTCTCCCCTCCCTTTATACAAATACCCATAAAAATAAAACCTCAAGAAGCCATGTTTATCTGGTTATGCAGATACATGAAGTACGTTTAACACCACTATATTAACGGTTTTGACACCTGCACTTTTTTTAAGTCTTACAAGGTACACTGGAGAGCGGGCTTCCTGAGCTAATAAACATGAAAAAACCCATACAGTATTTCCGAGTTAAAAAAAAAAGATAGCTTTCTCATTCCAGTAACAAGGAATATTTGGCTGACATTCCTTTCAGTAATTAAAGTTTAAAATGCAAGATATTAGTAAAGAAATCCCCTTACCGGGCAAGAACAATTCCCCAAGCCCCCCAAGTGAATGGGAAGGAAGACAGACTCCTTTCAGAACCAAAACACTTCCCAGGAATTTAAGTCTAATCTTTGCAATTCCTCCAATTTTTGCACTTCTAAAGAGACCTTCTACATGCAGAACCAAACAAGCCACATTCACGTTCACGCTCAAGCACCGGGGAGTTGCATCAGCAATGGGTAGTGGAGAACGTGACAGCTGCAAACAAGGCCTCTGTGAGAGGTTTCAGATCTGGTGTTTCAGCTTACTGATCTTGTTTCAACTAAAAAAGATTATTTATTATTCTATAATCAAAATAAGATTCTGCTGTGTAAATTACACACAGACCTGGATTCTGGGGTACAGGAGGGGCTTTCTTTGTTCGCCAGCTTAGAAAATGAAAGATTTTATTCTGTCTAGCAAAGCTTCATGGTTATTTCACAGAAACAAAAAGGGGAAAGGGTCCCTCAGGAGAATGATACGCTCCTCCAAATTCATCCCAACACTGGATGCTTACATTAATGTCACTATCAGTCTCAAACCTAAAACTGCACATACATCTTGAACATCCAAAGAAATTTGCAAAGTCCCTCTTCCTCTTGTATACCACACTTGAAACTCTAAACACTTCCAAGACATTGCTGATTACAGTGAGGTATCTAAAACAGAAATATTCAAGAAGTCAGAAGAGAGTGATCCAGAGGCCTCACGTGCTTGTGACTGCCAAATTTAAGACATTTAGCGGGGGGAAGGGGAAGCGAGTCAAGCCGCACAGTACAAAAAAAAAAAAAAGCAAAGGAAATAGAAGTAAACAGAAGGGGGAAATGTTTAGCAGAAGAAAAAAAAAATATATATATATACCCTAACTAGCAAGATACATGGTCCCATCTCTAAAGAAGGGGCAAAGAAGAAGATCCAAAACTTTCTCCAACCTACTTTGGTAAGTCAGACTATGAAATGAGCATCCCACCGGATGCAAACCAAACTTAACAAGCCTGAAAAGTGAAATTTCTTGAAAGCTTAAAACACCCAGAAGTGCCATACAGCCCAAAGCAACAACGTTATCAGAAGAATCGCTGGTAAATGCCCACCCAAAATCTATTATTATCTAACCTATCCTTCAGAG